TGTGTGTGTGTGTGTGTGTGTGTGTGTGTGTGTGTGTGTGGGTGTGTGTGTGTGTGGGAGAGAGAGAGAGAGAGAGAGAGAGAGAGAGAGATTAAATCAAGACTAGACAGAAAACACAGTCAGAGAAACTAATTCCACTTTATCGTAAGGTTACATTAACAAAATGTTTCAAGTCTGCAAGTTCTTTTCTCACATATTCATTTTACAGCCCAAAAAACTAAGGAGGGTCTCTTTTGAGCCTCTTGCCCTGCCCATATTCCTGGTGCAAGCTAAGTGCCTTTTATCTGACCATTCCCTTGGCTGTATCTCATTTCCCTGCCTCCCAAGGTCACACTCACATACCATTCCAAGGCTGCAAACTGCCAGAGACCAGCAAGCCTCTCTATTGCTGGTTAAGATAGAAAGGCTATTTCGATCAAGGCCAAATTTAATAATCAAGTTTTTTCCTCATATGACACCATCCTATCTTACTTATCCACCACCCCCAGACTGCTACAACAGGGCTATAATTGACCCTACATTACCTGGTTAATAATGTAGATTCCATAGGACACCTTCTGACGTCGTAGGATTGGATGCAGGTAGTGGAGCCAGTATTTGAGGTGATGCTCGCGGTGGCGGAAAGGTATGAGGATGGCCACTTTCTGTCGAGGCACACAGTCCAGGGGTGAATACTTGCCACCCTCCTGAACATCTGGGTTCTCCCGCTGTACTCTCTCCATGCTCATGGGAGAGCTAAATTCAATAAGGAGTCGCCCCACTGAAGGAGGAGGAGGAGAAGGAGGAGGAGGAAGAAGAAGAAATAATAATTCTGCTAGAAATGCTTCAGTTAACCAACTTCAGAAGAAGAGCTTAGCCTTCTCAATATGAACTTGCCACTTCTGTTAATCAAGATGGGAGGCTACTGCCCTGAAAAGCTCAGCAAAGGAACTTAAAATCCAAACTTATAATGCACTAAGGCGTGTAGTTCAAGCCACTGACATAATATGCCCCATTATTTAAAGTAAAGGTTCCCCTTGCACATATGTGCTTGTTGTTCCCAATTTTAGGGGGCAGTGCCCAACTCCATTTCAAAGCCGAAGAGCCAGCACTGCCCAAAGACGTCTCCATGGTCATGTGATTGGCATGACCAAATGCCGAAGGCGCATGAATGCTGTTACCTTCCCACCAAAGGTGGTTCCAATTTTTCTACTTGCACTTTTACATGCTTTTGAATTGCTAGGTTGGCAGAAGCTGGGACAAGTAATGGGAGCTCACTCCATTAGTGGTACTAGGGATTTGAACCACTGAACTGCCGATCTTTCTGATTGACAAGCTCAGCATCTTAGCCACTGAGCCACCATCACACACAAATGTCACTGCGAAAATTGCATCAGTCATGTCTAATTCAAATTGTGTCATTTGTGTGACGATATCATGTTGCATACCATGCTACTTGATGCGCTTATACATTCTGCAAATTCCCTTTATGTATAATTGGGGCATCAAACTGTCAAGAGCACAATTAACCCACTTGCCTAAATATGTCTTAGTATCTATACTTTTATCTAGGTGACCCAACTGCAAGCTTCCCAATATAGGGCGTGTCATATTTTTCAGCTTTCCATTTCCAAACATTAGGGGTGCTCAAAAGTTCTGATATGCCTTGGGGATTATAAAGATATTTTGGTTACTTTACTGTAATTTGGATGTGCTTGGTAAGGAACTACAAAAATATCATAACTTTTTAGCATTTTAGTCGTTTCATTTAGTAATGACTCACAGCTGCCCTGCAAATGGGCAGGGTTATCAATGAAAGCAGCAATAGGTGTGAATAAGTACAATCACTTCCATCTATATAACATGAAGAAAAACATTTCCCCCCTTATCTTCTCCCAAGAGGATCCAGCTGGGGTGATCAGAATAGTGGAAACTACCATACTCTTCCTTCTCCATTATGCCAGAATTCTAAGAAATTGTAGTTTAGTATCTTTTCTGAATAAACCCCTGAATGGTTCTTGAGAAAAGGTTCAGTTAACAAATTTGAGATGACAGATGGGTGGTAATCTCATTCGAGAGCAACAGTAGCAATTTGATAAAGGCACACCCATTCAGCGGTGATAAGTACAGTACGAGCACTGGCTACTATCTGCAGCTGAAAATGTGAGATACTATGGCCTCTGTTAAGTTCGTTATTAATTGAAGAGGCATGAAGCAGCTGAGGTAAGAGAACAACTATTTATTCAGTAGAACGGCAACAACAAACGATGTACAGAGATTCAGCACCTCGCCCTGCTTGACAGCTATTTATACTAGAGCTGTCAAGCAGGGCGACCAATAGGAATGCTTAGGCAGCCCGCGCTCAGCCAGTCACGCCTTAGCCAATCAGGCGCAGCTGAGCTGTTGCTGGCTGTCAGTCGTAAGTCGAGGACTTTAGAACTGGTCGCAAGTCAAGGACTTAGCAGCCTCCAAAACTAAAATGACAATGTACTTTTGAGCAGAGGATCAGCAGCCACTATTACAGTACTTTTACAATCTGAACAATGCTAAAACATTTCCCTAATTATTTGCAGGTAAAGAAGGAGAGTGCAAAATTGGCTTGAAACTCAACATTAAGAAAACTAAGATCATGGCATCTGGCCTCTCAATTCCTGGCAAATAGAGAGGGAAGAAATGGAGGTAGTGACAGATTTTATTTTCCTGGACTCCAGGATCACCGCACATGTGGACTGCAGCCAAGAAATTAAAATTAAAATGCTCCTGGGGAGGAAAGCTATGGCAAATCTAGAGAGTGTACTAAAAACAGAGACATCACCCTGCCAACAAAAGTGTGTATAGTCAAGGCTATGGTTTTTCCAGT